GTGAGTGGCTGAGGTCTGAGTCAGGCACTCAAATGTGGGATACAGTGTCTAAATATTGGTGGACCCCTCCTCCATCCGGGTATTGGGGAGCACGTGGGGGTTGCAGAGGCCGTGGTCCCTTCTCCCTAATCCAAGGCCCTGCTGCTTCAGCTAGAGTAGCCCTGCCAGTCTCCTAGGCCTGCTCCATGTAATCTCGCCACCCAGTAATAAGTAGTAACAGTATCAGCCACGTAGCTGTGTGCCGGTGGCTCTGCATGGACTTGTGTGTTTTTCCTACTCATGCCTTAGAGCAACCCTAAGGCGCACCATCACTCACATCCTATGATGGGAAACAGGACATGAGGGAGAGATAACTTTGCTAAGAGCCCACTGCCAGCTCACCAGTGCCCCAGGCCCTGTCGAGAGCACGTTCAGCCTTCCTAGCATTCCTGCCTGTCCATTTTGCACATGAAGAAACTGAGGTGCTTCCTTGGGGACAGGGAACAACATGTCCTAGGCCAGTAGAGGTAACCCAGGCCTGTGTTCCTTGAGACACACAGAGGGCAGGAAGCAGTGGCAGGAGGTGGGCTGGGGGCATCCAGGCAAGGAGGCTGAGAGAGGGTGTGTGCGGGGGGGTGATGTGCTGATTCTCAGGTGTCCTGGGTCAGTCTGGATCCGCACAGCCCTGAGTTCCTCTCAAGGCCTTTGCTGTGTGGGCCCTGGACAATGGCTTCAGCTCCCTTAACCCCAATCTTTATCTGTAAAAGGGAGCAATGCTGCCCGCCTCCCAGGTGTGACAGCACACATGAAGCCTGGATCCGGCCCAGTGACCATCCCAGCGTCCCCCCAGCCTGCAGAGTAAGCGTCTGAGTGGTCATCGACGTTATCATCCAGACCCTTCCCCAGCAGTCTGATGACAGGACTCTCTACCCTGCACGCCTCTGCCTCTCTCAGGGAGCCCACCCAGCTGCACTGGCCTTGCTTCCCAGAAGCCCCCCACCCTGCCAGACCAGAGGACTCCCAGCCTATGTGGGGCCCGGCTGGCCTTCCCTCCCTCCAGGCTCCGGGGCCCCATGCCAAGGGTGCAGAGCTGGAGCTGGCACGGGCCCACTCCTGGGGAGAGGAGAAGGGAAGGCATCTGGGAGTGCGCTGGGCGCAGCCTGAGTTTCTGACTGATGAGGAGACAGGGAGACCCATGGAGGGGAGAGGGGAGGGACAGGGGCAGGATGTGTTTCCCTGAGGATGCCCTGTTACCATCTCCTTAACCTCGCTCTGGTGTCTTAATGAAACCGTGTCAGCCCCACGAGCGCCGGGCTTTGACCTCCTTTGCACCTGCCATGCCTCTGGGGCTCTAACGGAATGCACTGCAAACCAGGGTGACCGTGGGATTTAGGAAGCAGTCATTAGGCCTGGGTTGAGACAGCCGTGTCCCACACCGCAGCACCTGGGTTTCATTCCTGGGTGCAGCCCCTGACTCCGGTCCTCCCAGTGCAGAGCTGGGAGACTGAGGGGATGGCGCAAATAATGGGGGTCTTGCCTCCCTCGTGGGAGACCTGGATTGACTTCCTGGCTCCTGGTTTCCTCTCCCACCCAGTACTGGTTGGTGCAGGCACTGGGGAGGGAAGAGAGGATGAGAGTTCTTTCTCTGTCTCTCAAATAATAAATAATAATTTTTATGGATCGTTAGGGGAGGGGATTGTGGTCAGCTGGGTTAAGCCACCACTGGAGACTTCTGCATCCCATATTAAGTGCCTGCTTGACTCGGCTTCCCATCAGCTTCCTGCTCACGCACCTGGGAGGCAGCAGGTGATGGCTCATGCACTGAGCCCCATGCCTCCTTGTCATAGACCAGTATGGAGTTCCTGGCTTCTGGCTTTGGCTTCTTGTCCAGTTCATCTTGTGGGCATTTGGGGAGTGAATCAGCAGATGGAAGATCTCTCTCTTTGTCTCTCTCTGTGTCTCTGTCTCTCCCTTTGTCACTCTGATATTCAAGTAAATAAATAAATCATTAAAAATAATAATCATAAAATAACACCATGTTAATTTTGATGGAAAAATGTAGAACTCATGCATACAAATAACTTCCAAACATTTCTTGGAAGGGTCTATGTGGGCTGAACAGGTGTCAGCAACAGGGCACTTGTGCTTGGGCTACACCTGAGAACAGGTAATGGCATGAGCTTGGGGCAAGAGCACTGCCTCTGCTTCCAGCCCTCCATGGGTCAGCAAGGAACACAGGCCTGGGTTAGCTCTGCTGCTGCAAGGACCTATTGTTTACTGTCACCAAGGGATTGCCTTGGTTTCTTTATCTGCAAAATGCGGATAAAAACAAAGCCATGGAAATGCTAGGAGAGATGGCACATGCTTTCGACAGGGCCTGGGGCACTCAGTGAGCTGCTGGTGTGCTCACCTCCCTGTCCTGTGTCCCATCATGGGACTGTGAGTGATGGTGTGCCTTAGGGTCGCTCTAGGGCATGAGCAGGAAGCGCACAAGTCCATGCAGAGCCACTGCATGCAACCGCCATGACTGTTATTGTTATTGTCATTGTTGGGCTGTGAGATTAAGTGGAGAAAGTCTAGGAGACTGGGGGGAGGGGAGGCCCTCGACCTGCAGCAGTAGGGCCAGGGATTTGGGAGAAGCAGCCACAGCCTCTGGCCATTGCAGCCATTTGGGGAGTGAACTAGCAAATGGAAGACCTTTCTCTGTCTCTCCCTCTCACTGCCTGTAACTCTACCTCGCAAATAAAAATAAAATAGATGCTAGTTGGGATATTGGCATCCCATAGTTGGGAACCTGACACTTAAGTGGGAGACATGAATGAGACCTCAGTACTCAGGCATTGGGGAGTGAACCAGTGAATGAGATTTCTCTGTCTCTCTATCCCTCCATCCCTCAGGTACCCTGCCTTTTAAATAAATAAATAAATATCGTAAAGCAACAGAAACTTTGATCTTTTGACACATTTCTGTAAGTCTGGAATCTGACAACAGCTGAGCTGTGGGGCTGTGTCCCAGTTCTCTCCTGAGTTAGCAGTGAGGGTGTTCGCTTGCTTAGGGCTGGGAGACCTGCCTGCCCCCTGCATGAAGGCTCACATGGTGCTGGTGCTGGCCACAGACCTCAGCTCTGCCCTGCTTTTGCCCCTCTGTTGGCTGCTTCTCTGTCCTCACACTGACCCCCTTAGAGTGAGGTACCCCCAGAGGGAGCAGGGAGGGGTTTCAGTGCCTTCGAGGACTCTGCCTCGGGAGTCACATCACAGCCCTGCAGCCCGGAAAGTGCAAGATCAAGGGGAGGCCTTAGGCTTCAGCTCCTGAAACGAGGGGTCCCCACACTCTGTGGTTGTATTTTGTTTGATTTTTTTGGAAAAGTTTATTTTTATTTATTTGAAAGAGTTACAGAGAGAGGTAGAGACAGAGAGGTAGGTCTTCCATCTGCTGGTTCACTCCCCAAGTGGCTGCAATGCCTGGATCCTGGTGGATCAAAGCAAGCCAGGAACTTCTTCAGAGTCTCCCACATAGGGGCAGGGGCCCAAGCACTTGGGCCATCTTCTACTGCTTTCCTAGGCCATAGCAGAGAGCTAGATGGGAAGAGGAACAGCCGGGACACAAACCGGCGCCTATATGGGATGCCGGTGCTGCAGGCCGAGGCTTAGCCCACCACGCCACAGCACTGGCCCCTGATGCATGGGCTCAGCTATGGACGTTGCGGCCATGTAGGGAATGAACCAGCAGATGGAAGACTTCTCTCTCTCTCTGCTTCTGCTTCTCTGTAACTCTGACTTTCAAATAAATAAATACATCTTTTTTCTCAAAGATTTATTTAAAAGGCTGAGTGCCACACTGAGCAAGCAAAGAGAATGGACATCTGCCATCTGCTGGTCATCTCCCCAAACGAGGGCAGCAATTCAAAGCCAGGAGCACGTGCTCCATTCCGCCCTCCAGGCTCCTGAGTCCACTGCCTGCTGCCTGCTCAGGCGCACCCCAGGAATCTGGGACTCGGTGGGCGCTCTGAGGTGCAGGCGCCACCATGCCGGCCCCTGCGGGCCTATTGAAGACATCCATAGACGGTGACTCCTTCAGTCTGGAACAATCCCACAAGCTGGGTGCTGTCATTCACCCTGATGGGGGAGAAACGGGAATAGATGCAAATGACGCTGGCCTCAAGTCTTCATGAAGCAGAAGCCCTGTGTACCCCACCCCGTGTGTCCGCGAGGACCAGGACTGACGCCCTGCAGTCCTCGTTACCAGGGCTGCACGGAGCAGGCACGCAGGACCGTGGCGTTCCCAGCTGTCTGTCAGGAACCTTCTCTCTGGGATGGCGCTACCTGTGTGCATGCTGTCCTGTGCACCTTGCTGCCTCCCTGGTCCTCCACGTGTGCAGCCCCCGCGGTAGGGGAGGCGCGGCTGGGCGGGACTCCCGGTCCTGAGGACCAGGCTGCCCTGGACGCGGAGGCGGGGAGAGGCGCTCAGGACCTCAGGCGCCCGCGTGCACCCGCCCCACGGCCCGGACCGCTGGGCCCGGGGACGCCGCTCGCTCACAGCACTGGCGGCGAACGTGCAGTCGCTGGGAGGGCCCGGACCGCTGGGCCTTGAGCAGCCTGGGGAACTCCGCAGAGGGAAGGGAAGCCCCGCCCCAGCCTCTGAGTGTCTGAGGAGAGGTTGTTTCCGATGTCGAGGCCCGGGGATGCACAGAATGACCCGAGGGAATTCCCCCGAGCTCAGGCTCACGTCTCGCATGTGGGGTTCAGGACGGGAGACAGGTGTTCTTTGGGGGGAGGAGGCGGGCCGCGAAGCTTAGTTTGGCACATTTTCTCGAGAGGCTCTGCGGCACAAACAGTCGGCGCTCAAACTTCCCGGCCACACTCAAGATGGCAACTGCCCAGCCACGCCCCCAACGGCGGATCCCGGGGCCGGGGCTGGAGAGACGCTACGGAGAGATGTCCATCACGGCATCGCCCCGCCCCCGAGGACAGCGAGCACCAATCGGCCGCGTGCAGGGCGGGGGCAAGGCCAGGGGAGGAGCCTGCTGTTGTCCCAGCAACGGCCAGGGAGCCTGAGGCGAGGGCGGCCGCGGAGGGGTCAGAGGGGTCGCGCTGTCAGGGAGGTCCCACGGGAGGCGCCAGGCCGGCGTCGCTGGCGCCCGCGAAGAGGACGGAGTCGGCCCAGAACCAGCATCCGGCTGCCGCATTCGCTCCCACTAGCCGTTAAGCGCTGTAGGTAGAGAGACGCAAGCGCTCCGGGTAGGGGCGGGGCCGAGGCGGCCCTGGACTCAAGACGCATGCGCGCTGGAGCTGGGCGGGCACGGATCGACGGGAGGCGGGGTTTCCATCCCTGTGGGTGGAGCTATCGGCCCCTGGGGCGGGACTGTCTGCGGGTGTTACCTGGATCAGGAAGAGAGTTGTTATCACCTGTTCCCCATCTTCTGGGGACACTGAGTCTGCGGACTCAGGGGGTTGACCAAACTAGGTTGGCGACCTACTTCTGCCCCTTAACCTGGATCACTTTTGGTTTATATTTTAAGGATTTATTTATTTATTTAAAAGGCAGAGAGAGAGAGATCTTTCATCCGCAGGTTCACTACTCAAATGGTCGCATGAAAGGGGCCCGGGCCAGGCTGAAGCCAGGAGACGGACTCCATCCTGGTCTTCCCTGTGAATGGTTTCAAGCTCAAGTGCTTGAAACACCTGCCGTTCGTTAGCAGGAAGCTGGATCCGAAGCAGAGCAGATGCACCGCAATGGCACACTGCTGTGGGATGCGGGAGTCCCAGGGGGATCCCTTGGACAGCGAGGCTCTGGCTGGTACAGAGTGGGAGGGCACCTGCGGACAGCCCTGGGGTAGGAGCCTCAGGCTGTTGGGCCTGGGCGTGATCAGAGGATGGAGCTCCAGGAGCAGCCAAGTGATGCCAGCACTGGGGGCGGAACGGGAGGAGGAGCTGGAGGAGGGATAAAAAGCAAGGGTTTCTGAGACTTTTCCAGCATACCTGGGAGGGCTTGGCGCTGCGCTGGTCCGAGAGGACGCCACCCTCCTCACGGCCTCTGCGGCTTGCTCCATCCCCGCCTGCCTCCTGCACAGCGACCCCGGTGCTGACCAGCCGTCCGAGCCACAGACCCTGCCTCCCGGCTCCGGACCCCGCGCAGCCTAGCACCTTCCCTCCTCTGGGGAACGGGTCTCCCAGCCCTGCTGCGGCCCCCTATTCAAGACCGCCCACTCTTCCGTCGCATACCGAGACAGCCCTGCTTCTGCCTTCCTGAGGGCCGCGGCTTTCCCCTGAGACCCTCAACCTCCCCATCCCACCCTAGCCCTGTACGGAGTGCGTCGCCTCCCCCATGGCGCCCTCCGGGATGCGACTGCTGCTGCCGCTGCTGTGGCTCTCAGTGTTGGCGCCCGGCCGCCCGGCCGCGGAAATGCCCGGCCGCAACGCCACCGACCTGGAGCTGCAGCAAAGGCAGCACCTGGAGGCCTTCCGTGCCCTGCTCCTGTCCAAGCTGAAGACCCCCAGCCCGGAGGAGGAACCAACCATTCCGGAGCCTGACGACGTGGACCACAGCACCCGCGAACAGAACGAGGAGGGCCTTGAGCTGTTGCCCCGCTACTTCCGCAAGGAGGTCACCCGCGTGCCAATGCTGGACAGCAACCACGGTGAGCTCCGAGGGACAGGGACCCGGGAGGGGGCCGCCAGGGGGCGCCGGAGGGCTGGGGTCGGGGAGGAAATTACCTGCAGAGGACACAGCGGGAGGAAGGGGACCCCTGGGTCACAGGAAACGTGGGGGAGGGCGTGTCCTAAAGACGGGGGCGCTGAGCTCCCCGACCCTCAGGGACTGGTCCTGGAACAGTGCGCCAGCTGCACGGGACCCGCGGGGGCGAGGGAGGTCCCGGGGGGACACAGGCAATGGGGTAGAAGCCGTTCCCTCCGCAGGGCACGTGGAATGCGGGGGTCGCGGGTGGGAGCTGCAGAGAGGGTGCTCTGTGGGGAGAGGCTGAGCCCCTAGTCTGTGGGAAAGGGAGCCAGTGAGAAAGCTGGGCAGAGTTTGGGGGTCACGAAACGGAAAGACAGAAGGAGCAAAAGGTGAGGCGAACCGCCGCAAAGTGCCAGGAGCGTGGATCCGCTTCCAGGGCGCACGGGACAGGCAGGACTGCAGGGGTCGTGGCAAAGAGGCAGAGGTCTGCGTGACGGGTGCGGGCATGGGACGCGAGGCCGGCGGTGGGATGAGGAGGCTGGCAGGAGAGAAGCAGAGACCTGGAGCGCGTGCCCAGGGTGCATGCAGAGGGTCGCGCGTGCTTGCAGCCGGAGTGAAGGCACAGAGCAGGGAATCCCAGGAACCAGGACTCCTGGGTCGGGGAAGGGGCTTCCGGAGAGGGGAGGGGCGTGGGAAAGGTGTGTTGGGATGGGGCAGGGGGGGCAGTGGTGCCAGGGCGCTGATTGGAAAGACCCTACTCACCGCGGGACGGGAGGGGCCGGACCTGGTGTGGAGCATTGGGGAGAGGTCTGGGCGGGGGCTCCTGTGCGAGTCCCAGGTGAGAAAAGTGTGCAGGTAGGGGTGAGGTCCCCCCCTGGGTGCCACTCGCAGCAGGAGGAACACGAACTTCCCGAAGAGGCAGGAGGACCCCGCAGGGCTGAAGGCTGGCAGTGCACACCCCAGAGTGGCAGTGGCTCCCGGGGAGCCCCGCCTTCACGTTCGCCTGTGGTGTAGACGGTTGTGTCACTGTGCGCCTCCTCTGCAGCTGTGTCCACTTCTCCCCCAAACACGCGTGTCTCTGCGCGGGTCCATCGTGCCATCTCCTGGCACCGCGCTGGTCTCCCTGCTCACCCGAGAGCCCCCCGCCCCATTTCTTGCCAGCCTCCCGCCCCCGCTTCCTGTTTCTCTCCCCTCGCAGCCGGATCTCCTCCAGCCTCAGTGTCTCCATCTGCCAGGTGATGTAATCAGGTGCCTTCCTCAGAGCTTGTTGTGAGGGGCAGATGTCTTCACCCTCGCAAAGCTCTGGGCACAGCCTCTGGGAACAGTGCTCTTCAGCAGGCTGGTGACTGAGTGGCCGGTGTAGCCCGTGTGCCCGCCCTCCCCAATCCTGATTGGCTGTGCGCCCGCTCTGTCAGGGCTTCCTCTGCGTGGTCTCTGTCTCCCACCTGGTCCTGCAGTAGTTTCTGCTCTTACAGATGAGGATCTGGCTCAGCGGGAGGACTCCTCCCCTCCAGGGTTCCCCAGGGCCGCAGTCAGGAGCCCCTGAGTGGAAGGCACAGAGCTGGACGCTGCTGTTGAGGTTCAGAGGGACAGAGCCTCAGGGTCAGGGGGGAGTGAGTGCCCCAGGTCACACAGCACAGAGGCAGCAGGGGCTCTTCCTGACCCCAGGCTCTCCCCATGACCCCTCCTCTTGCAGTGCAATCCACATCTGAGCTGGGTGCCTGGGACAAGGGAGCCACACAGCCACTCCCTAGGTGGGCAGATGGAGGCCTCAGGTAGACAGAGTGGTCAGGACCCATGGTGCAGGGCAGGAAGCCCACCCAAAGGGACCCTGGGCCCCAAGGTCACACAGCTGACAAGTGTCAGAGTCCAACTCCAACCCGGGCTGCAGCTCTGGGCCCTGGCCCTCAGACTGGGGGTGTCCCTGCTCCTTCTACCCCTGCCAAAGCTCTGACTCCTCTGTCTGCTCCTCCCAACTAGAAATTTACAAAAAATACAAAGATTGCGGGCACAGCGTCTATATGCTCTTCAACATGTCAGAGCTCCGGCAAGCAGTGCCTGAGCCGGTGTTGCTGTCCAGGGCAGAGCTGCGCATGCAAGTGCTCAAGTTACAGCAGGAGCAGCACGTGGAGCTGTACCAGGTGAGGAGGGAGCCTGAGCTGTGGCCAGGTGGGGGTGGAAGGCTGCTGGCCGCAGGTCCTCATAGACGGCCCCGGGAGGGGGAGGAGCACAGACCGGGGACTCCTGGGGCTCTGTTGAACTTCGCACTCTGCCAGGGTTTTCAAATGCTTGGAAGGCTGGTGTCTTAGGAGTTGGGTCCTGTAGAAGTCAGGACTCTGGGAAGTTGGAATCTCTGGACAGGATGAGGCTCCAGAAGTGTTCTGTCCAGTGTTGGCCAATGGTTAACATTTCACTTGATTAAAATTGAAATTGATTAATCTTAAATATTTCCCTTGCTCCACGTTCATTGAGTCATGGCTGATAATTTGTAATTAATTTTGAAATTTTAAAAAATATTTATTTCTTTGAGAGGTACAGTTACAATGAGAGGGAGAATGGCCAGTGCTGTAGCGTAGTGAGTAAAACTGCTGCCTGCAGTACTGGGGTACCATATGGGCGCCGGTTCGAGTCCCTGCTGCTCCACTTACGATCAGCTGTCTGCTACTACCTGAGAAAGCAGCAGCAGATGGCTCAAGCCCTTGGGCCCCTGCACCCGCATGGGAGACCTAGAGGAAGCTCCTGGCTTCTGGCTTCAGATAGGCTCAGCTCCAGCCATTCCATCCATTTGGTGAGTGAAGCAGCTGGTGGAAGACTTCTCTCTTTCTCTGCTTCTGCTTCTCTGAAACTCTACCTTTCAAATAAATAGATGTATTTTCAAAAAAATTAGAGGAGAGACAGAGAGAAAGGACTTCCATCCACTGGTTCGACCCCTAAATGGCCAGGATGGCTGGAGCTGGGGCTGGAGCTGCGTCTATCAGATCAGGAACCAGAGGTTTCCTCTAGGTCACCCGTGCTGTTGCAGGGGCCCAAACACTTGGGCCATCTTCTGCTTTCCCAAGCCAAAGAGAGTTCTATCAGAAAAGGAGTAGCCAGTACTTGAACCAGCGCTCATATGGGATGCTGGTGAACAGGCAGAGGCTTAGCCTACTATCCCACAGCACCGGCCCCTGGAGTCTGCCTCCCTCCCTCTCTCTCTCTCTCTTTCTTTTAGATTATTTATTTGAAAGGCAGAGTTGCAGAAAGAGGAGGATACAGATAGAGACAGCAATAGAGAGAGATTTCATCTGCTGGTTCACTCCCCTTATGGCAACCACCACCCAGGCTGGACCTGGCCCAAGCCAGGAGTATGGAACTCCATCCTGGGTTCCTCCGTGGGAGGCAGGGGGCCACCTTCTGCTGCTTTCTCATGTACATCAGCAGGAGCTGAATGGGAAGTGGAGCAACCAGGGCTTCATCCACTGCTCAGTGGGACGCTGGCATCACAGGCCGTGGCTTAACCTGCCCACCGCAACTCCAGCCAGAGAGTCCTTTTCATTTCTTATTGATTTCCTTGAGAGACAGACAGACACAGACACACACACACACACACATATATATGTATGTATATATATATATATATGTATATATATACACAGAGAGTGTGTGTGTCTGAGGGCCGCTAGTGGTGCCTGGAGTTCAGCTGGAGTTGGGAGCGTGGTCTGTGTGGTGAGGTGTTGGTGGCATCTCTGGCCTTCTCTCTCCCCCATGCTTTGTCCTCCAGAAAGACAGCAGCGATTCCTGGCAATACATCAAGAGCCGGAATCTGGCACCCAGTGACACAGATGAGTGGTTGTCCATTGTTGTCACCAGAGTTGTGCGGACGTGGCTGAGCCGTGGAGGTAAGGATCGCAGGTCTACCCCACCGCTGCTTCTCCTGGGTTCTGCCCCCGCCCCCTGTTGGTGTCAGAGGCACTCAGAGCTGGGAGGTGAGTGAGGGATCTGTTCATGGATCATCCATGTCCTGAGCACCTGCCTTCTGCCCTGCCCTGTGACAGGTGATGCAGGGGACAGACACAGCCTGACCAGGACAGCCCAGTCCTGGCCTGCACGGAGCTCATCATCATCTGGGTGGGTGGTTGGGTGGGTGGTTAGCTGTGCAGTGATGACCCAGAGTGGCCATGCTGGGATGAGGAGCCCAAAGGGAGTGCCTGGCCCAGCCTAGGTTCGGGGAGGGCTTCCTGGAGGAGGACGTTTCTGAGCTGATGTTGGAGGGCTGAGTAAAATCCGGAAGGAAGCAGTGAGGGGCCGCATGTTCTGGGCAGGGAGCAGCCTGTGCAAAGGCCCTGAGAGCAGGCAGAGCCGGGCACAGTGCATCTGCCCAGGAAAGGACTGGGCCACTCCTCTCCCTCGCTGAGTCCACAGTGCCCAGGGGTCCCTCCTAGTCATGCACGCATCCCAGGACTCCCCTCTGTCGCTCCCCCTCTTCGTGGAGGAACGACACAGGACCCTGCGCTGTTCTTTCGTCTGCTCGGCCCTCCCCGGGTTTGCTGCTGGTTCTTCCCGGGTTGGCTACTGTCCCTTCCACCTCCGTGGAAGGGCAGTTCCCCCTGGCCACATTCCCCACTTCCGCAGGGGAGCGGCACACCACCAGCTGGCTCTCTCGGGGGCTGCACAGGTGTTCCCCTTAGATGTTCCTGGTGCATGCCGTCTCTCTCCTCCTTTATAGTCCTCCTCCGCCAATCCGAACTCGGCTGCCCACACGCCGAGTACGCTGCTCTCCTCCAATCAGGAGCAAGTCCTACAGTTTATTGGCTGAACTGGAGGCAGCTGTGCAGAAGCTGTTTTCTTCTCTCCCAGCGCCATATTGTGGGAGAGCAGGTGCATAGAATAAGTCTTAATTCCAGTAACAGTCTAGTCCGAGCTGCTCCCCACACCCTCAGGCTCCTGTCCTGGGCCCGGCCCTGTGTGGGAGGCGTGGGGGACACAGTGGGGAGCAGGACAGCCCTGGGTCCTGCCCTCCTGGGTCCACTTCCCTCTGCACGTAGCAGTTCCTGCCAAAGCCCCGGAGGGCAGCAGTGACCTGGAAGGACCAAGGCTATGAATGGGGAGGCAAAGGCAGAGGGGTTGGGGTGAGGGTGGGGAAGCCCCCATTGCTGTGTGGGCCCAGAGCAGGCACCCAAACTCATCTGGGGGCCAGGAGGGCTCCCTGGAGGAGGGCGATTGTGTGGAGACTCACAGGAGAATTCCTTAGACCAGGTGCAGTGAGGGCTCCCTGACCAGAGAGGGTGCCTGACAGGATCTCCCGTGTCTGGGTCGCTGTCTGTCCAAGCACACAGCCCAGGGCCCACAGGCAGGAGGAGCTTAGAAACCATCACTCAGTCATTCCAGTCGCCTTTATCCCACATCTGCCCTCGGGAAAGCCCCAGGCTGAGCTTTGTCTCCCAGCCTCGGCCCCCTGTGTGACCAAGGGCAGGTCACGTCCTTTCTGTATGTCAGCTGCTAGGCCTATCAGATGGACGGTGTAGGGGATTACAGGGACAGCACACAGGGAGGGGTTAGCTCAGAGCACCCAGTACCTGTGAGCTGATTGGCCTCTGCTGGTCCATCCCTCAGTGTTTCCTCCAGATGTTTGTTTCTGTGCTTAAAGATTTATTTATTTAAGTCCGGCGCCACAGCTCACTAGGCTGATCATCCGCCTTGCAGCGCCGGCACATCGGGTTCTAGTCCCGGTTGCCCCTCTTCCAGACTAGCTCTCTGCGGTGGACAGAGAGTGCAGTGGAGGATGGCCGAAGTCCTTGGGCCCTGTACCCCATGGGAGACCAGGATAAGTACCTGGCTCCTGCCATCGGATGAGCGCGGTGCGCTGGCCGCAGCACTCTGGCCACGGCTGCCATTGGAGGGTGAACCAACGGCAAAGGAAGACCTTTCTCTCTGTCTCTCTCTCTCACTGTCCACTCTGCCTGTCAAAAAATTAAAAAAAAAAAAAAAGATTTATCTATTTAAAAAAGGATTTCTTTATTTATTGAAAGGCAGAGTTAGAGAAATAGAGATCTTCCACTGACCTGTTCACTGGCTGGGACGTGCCAGGATGAAGCCAGGAGCCTGGAACTATCAGGGTCTCCACGGTGGTGCCAGGGCCCAGAGCACTTGGGCCATTTCTGCTGTTTTCCCAGGCAGCTCTCTGAGGTCAAGCAGCCAGTGGACTATCTTATGGTCCAGCTTCAAAGCTGCCCACTGGGACGTCAGCATCCCACATGGGTGCCTGTTCAATTTCCGGTCGCTCCACTTCTGATCCAGCTCCCAAATATTTGCCAGGGAAAGGAGCAGAACTGCACCCACATGGCACAGCACTATGAAGCTCCTGGATTTGGCCGGGCCTAATCCTGTCCATTGCCGCCATTTTGGTAGTGAACCAGCAGATGGAAGATCTCTCTCTCCAACTTTTTTTTTTTTTTTTTTTTAACATTTATTTATTTATTTGAAAGTCTGTGTTACACAGAGAGAGAGAGAGAGAGAGAGACTTCCATCTTAAATCCGCTGGTTCCCTCCCCAATTGGCTGCAATGGCCGGAGCTGCACTGATCCGAAGTCAGGAGCCAGGAGTTTTTTCCGGGTCTCCCACGTGGATGCAGGGGTCCAAGGACTTGGGCCATCTTCTCCTGCTTTCCCAGGCCACAGCAGAGAGCGGGATTGGAAGTGGAGCAGCCGGGACTCGAACCGGCGCACATATGGGATGCCAGCACTGCTTGCCGCGGTTTCACCCACTACACCACGGCGCCGGCCCCCAACTTTTTTTTTCTTGTAACTGTTTTTCAGTTGAATAAATAGTTTTTTGTTTGTTTGTTTGTTTGTTTGGTTTTTGGATACAAAGTCAATCAGCCAGAACTCTAACTGCTGCTATGGAATGCCAGCGTCTCAGTTGGTGGCTTAAACTGTTGCCCAACAATGCCAGCTCTGAGATCTTTGTTAAAAGGTTGTGGGTCAGGCCCAGCTGAAAACAAAAAAAACTGAGGCTCTCTCTCTCTGGGTGCACCCTGCATCTACTGAGAACAGTGAGGAAATAAATAGCCAAACACCAGAGGTCACATGCTATGGGGAACAAGGTGATGTCATGGTCTGGGAGAGTGTGCATCCTGCAGGGCTCACTGAGGAGGTGATGTGAGCTGAGACCTGAAGGGGACGCTGCTGGCAAAGCAAAGAGCTGAGCACCATGGTGGGGGTGGTGGAGGGGCAGGGGAGGGCTGTCCAGGCAGGAGGAGCCCCCTGGAGTTTGCTCCTTCCTTCCCCTTCCTCCAGGGGCTGGCTGAGCCTCTCACTCAGACTGCCTTCCCTCTCCCCACTCCCACAGAGGAAACAGAGGGCTTCCGCCTCAGCACCCACTGCTCCTGTGACAGCACAGATGATGTCCTCCAAGTGGACATCAACGGTGAGTCCCAACCTGGCCCAGCCCATCCCCGGCTGTGATCTGTGTGTGCCTGCATGTGCTCATGTGTGTGTGTGTGTGTACCCCCAACCCCACAAATCAGCCCTGGACCACTGATCTAGAGAGCCTTCACCCTAACAGGGATCAGTTCCGGCCGCCGAGGTAACCATGCCGCCGCTCATAGCATGAACCGGCCCTTCCTGCTCCTTGTGGCTACTCCCCTAGAGAGGGCACTGCAGCTAAATGGCGCCTGGCACCACTGAGCCCTGGACACCAACTACTGCTTCAGGTGAACATGGCGGTCTCTGACTGTGGCCCTCCGCACTCGGCTGGGCTTCTCTTTGGCCTGAGGGTCGGGACCTGGCAGCTGGGTTGGGACCTGGGAGGCCTAGAACGTGGGGCCCAGGCCCCTTCCTGGTGCAGTGCAGCAGTCGGAGGCTGTCAGGATGTGGGCACGGGAACTGGAATGCGGTGTGGCAAGGCTGCCTTGCTGGGGGCTTCTGAGTGTCTGGGGCTGGAGTTCTAGAATGCTGGGTGAGCGTCTGTGACTGGGAGCAAGGCCGCTGGAGTCGAGGAGGCTGCCTGCTGGGAGCCTAGAGGGAGGAGACTGTGCGGTTTGGGTTCCCACACCCCGGGCAGATCGGAGCCCCCAGTGCTGGCCCCTGGCGTTGGGACATTAGGCTCCCAGGGCTGGGACCTGGGCTGAAATGGGAGCCCTGGCTGGGTGTGGAGGAAGTGGGGATGCTGACTGCCCAGGGCAGGATGCGGGCTCAGCCAGGGAGTGCGGGGCCTGGCAGGCGGCAGGCTGGGCCTCGTGTGCTGGCTGCGTGTGGCGGGAGGCTGCATGGGAGGGTGGAACGTGGGGTCCTGGAAGGCCTGGCACCTGGAGAGCTGGGACGCGGGAAGGGCGTCTTGGAGCTGGAGCGCGGGGACCTCACAGCCCAGTCAGCTGGGGCCCAGGTCCCTGGAGTTCACTTAGAATGTGAGGGCCAAGCGGGGAGTCGCAGCCCACCCCTCCCCCAGGAGAATCTGTGGTGCTGTCCGGGCTTTCTTTCATGGCGTCCCCGGCTGGACCTCGCCCCTTCTCCAGGGCTCTTCCAGCACCAGATCTCACACCTGGGCTAGGACCCCCAGGGAGTGAGGGGCTGCGGTCCTGAGCGCCCTGGACTCTGGGAGGCAAAACAGGAGCTCAGCGGCGAGGGCGCTGCCCGGAGTCAGACCTGGACCTGCTCAGGGCTCTGGGCCACGGGGACGCAGGCTGCGGAATCTAGACCTGGGAGCCCAATCCAGGGGGCACCCCCTCCACACACACACACACGTACCAGGGAATCCAGAAAGTTAATTTGGAATTGGAATTAAAAAACTGTAATATTTTGGTGCAAAAAGATTTATGATATCTATGCAGAGTTTTGTTTTTTGTAATGTGTATTTTTCACTTGTTTTGAAAGTAATTTTCCATCAAAAATTACTTTCCCCAATCATAAGTATACATAAGTAAGTACCCCTGGGTGGGCGTTGTGGTATAGCAGGTAAACCTGCTGCCTGCACCGCCGGCATCCCATATTGGCCCCAGTCTGATTCCTGGCTGCTCCACTTCTGATCCAGCTCCTGCTAATGGGCCTAGGAAAGCAAGAGAAGAGGGCTCAATGCCTGGGCCCCAGCACCCACGTGGAGACCTAGATGAAGCACCTGGCTCAGGCCTGGCCCAGCTCCAGCCGTTGATCCTTTTGGCCAATGAACCAGCGGATGGATGAGCTTTCTCAGTCTTCCTGTATCTCTGTAACTCTGCCTTTCAAATAAAATAAATAAATAAATAAGCAAATAATCTGTTATATAGTAGTTATAAATATGCATTTACTTATATAAATCATATATAAATATACAAATAGATATTTGTATATTGTATAAATGGGTAATATATATTATGGATTATAATACATATAAGTAATGTTTATGTATGTATTTAGACTTTATATAAACATTGAGTATATAAAAATGGATGGGGGGCCGGCACTGTGGCGCAGCAGGTTAAGGCCCTGGCCTGAAGCGCCGGCATCCCATATGGGCACCAGTTCTATTCCAGCTGCTCCTCTTTTTTTTTTTTTTTTTTTTTTGACAGAGTGGACAGTGAGAAAGAGACAGACAGAGAGAAAGGTCTTCCTTTATCCTTGGTTTACTCTCCAATGGCCGCTGCATCCCGTGCGTTTTGGCCTGTGCACTGCGCTGATCTGAAGTCAGGAGCCAAGTGCCTCTCCTGGTTTCCCATGTGGGTGCAGGGCCCAAGGACTTGGGCCATCCTCCACTGCCTTCACAGGCCACAGCAGAGAGCTGGACTGGAACAGGGGCAACCGGGTCAGTATCCGGCACCCGACCGAGACTAGAACCCGATGTGCCGGCACCGTAGGCAGAGGATTAGCCTATTTAGCTGCAGCACCGGCCACAGCCAGCTGCTCCTCTTCCAACCTAGCTCTCTGCTATGGCCTGGGAAAGCAGTAAAAGATGGCCCAAGTGCTTGGGGCCCTGCACCCACATGGGAGACCTGGAAGAAGCTCCTGCTTCCTGGCCTTGTATCGGCACAGCTCCAACTGTTGCAGGCAATGGAGGAGTGAACCAGCAGATGGAAGACCTCTCCCTCTCTCTGCCTCTCCTCACTCTGTATAACTCTAATATTTTTTTTATTTTGAAAGTTAAACCATAAAAATGGGTCCCTGCACTGTGGCATAGCCGGATAAGCCACCTGGGATGCTGAAATCCCATATGAGTGCCACTTCAAGTCCTGGCTGCTATACTTCTGATCCAGCTTCCTGCTAATGGCCAGAGAAAGCGGCAGAGGATAGCCCAAGTTCTTGGGCCCCTGCACCTATGTAGGAGACGGAAAAAGCTCCTGGCTCCTGGCTTCAGCCTGACCAAGCCTGGCCGTGCAGCCATTTGGGGAGTGAACCAGTTGATGGAAGACCTCTCTCTCTCTCTTTCTGTAACTGTACCTCTCAAATAAATGAATAATTTTTTTTAAAAAAGCTTGTATTTATTTATTTATTTGAAAGAGAGGAGAGGGAGAGATCCCAAAACGGTGCAACAGCCGGCACTGGTCCAGGTCCAAGCCAGGAGCCAGGAGCTTCATCCGGGGCTCCCAGGGACAGTTCTCTGCTGCCCTCCCAGGCTCACAAGGAGGCAGCTGGATCTGAAGTGGAGCAGCCAGGACTCCACCCAGCACCCATTTCGGAGGCCTACACCGAAGTCAGCAGCTTAACCTCCTGGGCCTCAGTGCCTGCACCAATCAATCAATCTTAAAAGAATAAAAGAACAGAGCCTACCCTTAAGCACTCAGAGGTTTCCGTGCCAGGCTCCGCCCAGGGCCAGGTCTCACTGCCCAGAGCCACCGGCTGCTTTATGTGCCAGCACAGGCATTCAGAGCTGAAGGGGCCAGAGCGCCTGGGTGACAGGGTGACTATGGGGCCAGCACTGTGGTATAGTAGGTTAAGCCTCTGCCTGCAGTGCCGGCATCCCATATGGGTGCCAGTTCATGTCCTGGCTGCTCCATTTCCCATCCAGCTCCCTGCTGATGTGCCTGGGGAGGCAGCAGAGTATGGCCCAGGTGCTTGGGCCCCTCCACTCATGTGGGAGACTGGGATGAAGCTCCTGGCTCCTCCCTTCTGATGGGCCCAGCTCCTGCCATTAATGGTGTGGCCATCTGGGGGAGTGAACCAGCTGGTGGAAGATATCTCTAACTCTGATTTTCAAATGAATGAATAAAACTTAAAAAGAAAATGCAGACTTTCCCACTGGTCAAAACAAACAAACAAAAGGCTACATGTGAGCAAAACAGAAAAACACGGTGACAGGCATGAGTGTCCTGCGACGCTGTGAAAGAGGACACAGCCCGGACCCAAGTGAAGACGGCCTCTGAGTGGCCTCACTGGCCCTGGTCCATGTGCAGGGATGGTGCGACCCCTCCCCCACTCCCATTCACGGGGTCTGCACCCGTGGCCTGCACCCGTGGCCTCAACCAACCACAGACCAAGAATTCTCCAGAGGAGGGCACTGGGTAGGTGGTTCAGGCATGTGTGGTACGTCCGCTCCCGTTTCAGTGGGCTGAGGTTCAAGTTCTGATTCAGCGTCCTGCTAATGCGCATCCTGGGAGGCAGCGGCCCACGGCGAAAGCAGTTGGGAGACAGAAGGGGCTCTCGCCGGGGCTTCAGCCTGCCTCAGGTCTGGCCATCGCCGCACTTGGGGGAGTGAACCAGAGGACGGAAGGTGTGTCTCGCCTCCCACATCTTTTTTTGGCTGCAGTACAGCAGCTGCACCTAAGCCCTGGACCGTCCGTGACCCCTCTCCACGTCCGGGGTCCTCCACGGGGTCCTTGGGCAGCAGCAGCCAGGCGCGGACAGCTGGCGGGAGACCCTCAGCAGCGGCCGCCGTGACCCCGCCCCAGCTGACCCAGAAGTGCTCCCGGAACCCGTCCAGGACGTGGCCAGGCCTGTGGCCTCCAGGGCCCGTGATTCACTCCACTTTGTCCTTGCTTGCAAGGCCTCTTCCCTCAGTCTGGCAGCCCCAGAGCACACGCAGAGGCCTCCCGGGGCCCTCGGGCGTCGGAGACAGGGTCAGCACACCCGCGGAGCCCGTGGGCAGCTGAGCGAGCGTGAAAACCTCAGCCCACGCAGGCTCACGACACACAGGCCGACAGCAGCTCTGAGCTGAACGCCGGGTTCCGGGTGCGGATGCTGGCACAGACGCTCCCAGTCTGGCCCAAGCCAACCTCCGACACCCGGGAGTCCTGGAGCTCCCCGCAGGCCTCCCAGAGCTTCGCTTGGCGACGCTGGGGTGCGGGCGCTCTGCGCAGGCGCCGCCGCCCACGTGACCCTGTGCCTGCCCACTTCCTGCCGCGCGGAAGGTTCCAGAGCCCGGGGCGCCCGCGCGGGCTGGGCTGGGGGAGCGGGGGCTGCGGAGCCCGGCCGGAGCCGCGAGAGGGGCTCTGCGGGGTCCCGTGGGCGTCCAGGCGTCCCCGGCGGGCTCCTCCGTCCTCTGCTGGGACGTTTGGACGGAGAAAGAGCCGGCCGCGGGCTAGGCCTTGAGAGGGGCGGTGCCTCTCCTGGGCTCCTCCTAGAGTTCCCGGAGCCGCGCTTCTCCGTGTGAGACACCCGCTCACGGGTAACGTGTGTGTGCAGTGTGTGCGTGTGTTCTATGTAACATGTGTGTAGTGTGTGCGTGTTTCTATGTAACATCTGTGTATGTAGTATTGTGTTTCTATGTAACGTGTATGTAGTATGTGTGTGTAACGTGTGTGTAGTATGTG